AGCAAAAGACTAGCTAAAAGCTAAAAATGAACATGCTAAGTACTGTCGTCATACGATGACAACGTTAGTGCTCTGCATTTGGCTCATTGCTCATGCAAGCAGTTATTTAGACACCCAGGAGTTGGGAGTTGGTTCTTGCTCAAGAATGATCCAATATAAGCATGGGATTCAAACCTGCAACTTTCCAGTCCCAAGTTAGTTGTCCTACCACTGCTCCACAGCAGCCCCAAAATATACAAAAGTAAACTACACAAAACACAATCCAAGGTAGCAAAATGCCAGCTAGAAAGTGAAACTATCAAATTATTAGGTTAAAGTATTATAATAACTAAAAACACAAACTAGCAAAATTCTAGGTAAAAGTAGTCAAGTCAAGCTAAAATGTGAAAATAGTAAAAGGCTATAATGGCTAAAAGTATCATTAGGTAAGTACCAAATAAATACCAAATGTTAAAAGTTTTGATAAGTTAGCTAAAAGCTAAAATGCTAAAATATCAAACGTTTTGTTAAAGTTCAAAAGCAGCAAAGGGTTACATAACAGCTACATGCAAAAAGTCGCCAAATGCTAGCTAGAAACTAAAAGTAGCTAAAGACTAGCTTAAAGCTAAATGTAGCAAAAAGCTATCTCTAAGCTAAAAGGAGCGGAGCTTTAGCTAAAGGCTAAATGCAGTTCAAAGTCAAAAGGAGCAGAACTTTAGCTAAAGGCTAAATGTATCAAACAGCTAGCTTAATGTTAAAAGGAGCAGAGCTTTAGCTGAAGGCTAAATGTAGCAAAAGGCTAGTTCAAAGCTAAAAGGAGCTGAACTTTAGCTAAAGGCTAAATGTAGGAAAATGAAAGCTCAAAGCTAAAAAGAGCAGAACTTTAGCTAAAGGCTAAATGTAGCAAAAGGCTAGCTCAAAGCTAAAAGAAGCTGAACTTTAGCTAAAGGCTAAATGTAGGAAAAGGATAGCTCAAAGCTAAAAAGAGCAGAACTTTAGCTAAAGGCTAAATGTGGCAAAAGGCTAGCTCAAAGCTAAAAGGAGCTGAACTTTAACTCAAGGTGAAATGTAGCAAAATTCTAGCTCAAAGCTAAAATGAGCAGAACTTTAGCTAAAGGCTAAATGTAGCAAAAGACTAACTCAAAGCTAAAAGGAGCTGAACTTTAGCTAAAGTCTAAATGTAGCAAAAGGCTAGCTCAGAGTTAAAAGGAGCAGAACTTTACAGATCCTGATCACCCACGCCATGGTGAGTTCAGGTTGCTTTCATTTGGACGCAGGTATCTGCTGCCCAGATGTTGGACAAACAGACTGAAGAACTCATGCATCCCTGCAGCGATCAGGCTTCTCAACGAACAATGATGATTTCTGTACTGTTATTTTAATGTCTCGTGTCTTGTCTAGTTTGGATGTTTTACTTAATGTATTGTCTAGTCTAGTATGTTTAGTTGTAGCTAAGGATTATTGTGATGCACTTTTCTTAGACCTGTCTAAAGCTCTTGACACTGTGGACCAGGACACCTTGTGTCATAAGCTCTCAGAAATTAGTTTCTCAGATCACAACATTGGTTGGTTCACTAACTATCTCTCAGATCAGAGACAATATGTCCAACATAATGGTACTTCTTCCAATTATTTAACAGTTAACGGTGTACCTCAAGGATCAGTCTTAAGTCCCACTCTCGTCACAATCTACATAGGTAAGGTAGGTCAGAGCATCCCTGATACATCCATACATTTCTATGCTGATGACACAGTTGTTTATTGTCGAGCTAAAACAGTTGCTAAGGTTTTCCAGCTTTTGCAATCCGCCTTTAACATCATCCAGTCAGATCTGTTCCGTCTCAAACTTGTCCTAAACACTGACCAAACCAAAGGGATACTTTTTTCAAACAGGAATTTGGTCCCAGCTGTTCTTCCTGCAATTTTATCCTCGAATGGTGTTCTTATTGAGTTTGTCGATTCTTATAAATATCTGGGTATCTTGGTCGACTCGCATCTCTCTTTTAAGCTCCATGTGGAAAACCTAGTAAGGAAACTGAAAGTTAAATCGTGTTTCTTTTTCAGAAACGGATCCTGTCTAACTCTGAATGCTAGGAAACGCCTTGTAACTGCGACTTTCCTTCCCTCCGTTGATTACGGTGACATTATCTATATGAACACTCCTACAAGCACTTTGCAGATGCTGCCTACCACGGTGCTTTAAGATTCATAACTGGCTGTAACTACCGTACCCACCATTACACCCTGTATTCACTGGTTAACTGGTCATCATTAACTTCATGCAGACTCTCTAACTGGTACATTTTCATCTTTAAATCACTTCTTGGTCTGCTGCCTTCATACAGCTCCTCCTACATGTTTCTGCGTGAGTGCAGCTACAGCGTGCGCTGTCAGGACATTATTACCTGCAGTGTTCCCTCAGTGAGGACTGAACTAGACAAAAGGGTCTTCTCCTACTCCGCTCCTGTTCCCTAGAATATCTTGCAAAAAGATCTGAAGCTCTTGACGTCTCTAAGTGGCTTCAAACATCTGCTAAGTTCCTGGCAAGAACCAATGCAGACATGTTCCTGTTTCTAGTTTTCTAAATCACTTTACAACCTAGCTGTTTTTATTTCATTTTTTAAATACCATTTTCTTTTATTTGTTCTCTCAGTTTATACGCATCCTTTATGATTGTCCACTGTTGTCATCGTTCTTTGTTAAAGTCAGGTCTCTCTTGTAAAGGAGTCCCTGAGGCTCAATGGGATTAGCCTGTATACATAAAGGTTGAATGAATGTTTGTTTTTCCTAATGTCTTGTCTAGTATGGATGTTTTGTGTGTCTGACTGAAACAAACTGACCCTTGGGGATAATAAAGATTCTTGAACTTGACTCCCCAAACTTTAGCTCATTGTCAGTAAAACTTTTTGTGTTTTCGAGCTCAGTCAGCTGTGGCAGCCATTTTGGACTGAGTCACATCTCGTGTGTTGACTAGATGAGATATTTTGCTAACACACAGTATATGAAGGCACTGTGTGCATCTGTCAGTCACACTCTCTCTTTGTTGCCTGGCAACTGATGATGATTGGAACGGTGAAGTGTCCTTCAGACGGCCATTATCAGAGAGCGCGCACATACACACGCGCGCGCGAAGCGATGAGCAGATTTGTGTGTTTCCTCTCCGTCCTCTCACCTCCACTCATCTTCCTCTCGTTTTCTCGTCAGTGGATTTGTTCTCCTGGAGCGACTTGGTTCAGACCTTCAGCTTTCTGGGTTTTTAAAAATGTGCCGGACTAAAGAAGTCCCAGGATTCTGTGAAATGTTTGAGACAGTGTTCACAAAATTATACATATATTTACTGTTTATGGTAATTATTTTAAATGTCCTGATGTTTCTAGCTGGTAATAAATTATATTTTATTTGTAAATTGTAACTAGATATCTTGTAAATAAGATGCTGACACCAGCATCTTGTTTATTAACGTCTCCTCGCCTGACGGTCCGATATAAAACATTTAAACATAATTTACGTTTTGATTTAAAACGACTAGCTTTAGCGTTATCAGTGGATCAAAGTGATGTTTCTCATCCAGAACACAAAGTCCGAGTTCTGCTTTAAAGCCGTGCAGACGATGGAGACTCAGCCTTGGGTTTTTTTGTCTCCATGACAACAGAAGCAGCGCGGCTGCCATGGCGACCACACATAAAGAAGTATTTCTGAAGTGTGTCGCTGAGGAGCTGCATCATGAAGCGGCCTCGTGCACGTCGTTTCTCTGATCTTTTACAGACGCGTCAACAAGACGTGATGAAACGTCCAATCACAGCACAGGGAACAAACTCGTTTCTTCTTCTCTGGTTTTTATTTCAGCTCAAACCTGATTTGTTCTGAAACATCCATCTGAAGAAGAATTATTAGTTTACACGTCAACAACAGTTGTATTTGTGGACAAAAAACAGAAACCGGTCTGCTAAGTCCAGTTCATCTACCATGGAAGGCACGGCCTGTGTGTGTGTCTGTTAGTCAAATATCCCATTAACCAGTGAGCAGCTCTCACACAGACGAGATGTTCACAAGTTGTTTCGACATGTTTTCAAAGTGCAACCACTTCAGACACTTTCAGTTATTTCAGCTGTTCAGGTACCAAAACCTTCAGCTCATTCAGGACATTTTAGCTGTTATTTGTGATTTTTGTACGTTTTAAATCTTGAGATATTTAATTTTATTTACATTTATTTATTTACATTGGGCCCTGTGATGGACTTGCGACCTGTCCAGGGTGTACCCCGCCCCTCACACAGTGATTGCTGGACATGGGCACCAGCGACCCCGTGACCCAAAATGGAAGAAGCGGGTAAAAGATAATGGATGGATGGATGGATGGATGGATGGATATTTACATTTGTTTTCTAATTGAAATACATCAAATTTCTTCAAATTGTCAAAACTTTGCCCTTTTTTTAAATGAACTTCAACGTCCATGCTCTGTGTCTCCTTCTGTCTCCTCTATTTCTGTTTATGTCTCCTCTTTGTCCCTTATTCATTCTCATTGTCTCCTCATGTGTCCTCTTTGTCCCTTCATGTGTCCTTTTTGTC